CCTTGTTCTGTAGGCTCTCTGTCCCCTTTTTAAGCCGCAAAAACCCCTAGCTCCCTTTCGCTTTTCCGGCCGACGCTCCGCCGGGCGCCTGGAGGCGGGTGGTGATCTCATCGTGATCTGCCCCCAGCTCCTTCAACAGCTGCACCGCCACCTGGAAAATCCGGGGTGAAGCAGGTACAGCCATCGAATTTGGGCTGGAGCTGGGGCAAGTTGGGGCAATATTGATCACACCAACTATTCATTAGAAGCAGGGATTCCTTGCTTCCGAGCATCGATTAAAAAAGACTGGGCTGTTTATCATAGGTAGAAACGCAAAAGACCCCTCACCCTCCCCCAATGGTTCTTAGAGGTCCGATTTTTCTCCTGAAATCCACTGCCTCCGCTGCATGCAGTGCATCGTTGTTCTGCTCCGCCTGTGCAATCGCTGGCCAGCCCTCACTCGAGCCAGGGTCGCTTAGAAGGATCCCAACAGCAAACTGGGAGAGAGCAAACAAGTTGCAACCGGTGGCCAAATGGCACTGTGTCTTGTTTGTCTTTCATCTGGGAAACCCGAAAGCCCAAAATGTAAAAATGGGTTCCAAACAACAAGAAGGGCCCATGACAAGTGAGTGCGGATCAAGGCGAGGCAACTTGAACAGGAATGCAAATGATCACACAAACATATGCACCCTGCCCCCCCGCATTGTGAGGTCATTTGCTTCAGGTGCTCGATTTTTTGGACTTGGGAAAGCACCCGAGTCATTTGCTCTCAAACCATTCCAGGAAAAAAACATACCTGAGGCCCATGGGCTATGGAGTCCCATGCAAGATGAGAAGCAAAATCGAGCAACAACTTTCGAACCTGGCAAACAATTGCGTGCCTGTTTCGGCCGGACCTTTCTTTTGAAATCGTCTTTGGGTATTGGATCGGGCACCTGAAGAAATAACTACAAACACCCATCCCCTTTTGGTTTCCCTTTAAGCTAACAAGCACCCAGGAGAAACCCGAGAGAACCCCACATGCCCGGCTGGCACTGGCGGCTGGCATGGCTGGGTGGCGGGTGACAGCCCGCCAGCAGGTAGGCGTGGCTGAGCTCCTCCCAGACATGGGCTTTCAGGCGCCTGAGATGAACAGCGGGCGTGGCACGGCTTTCGCAAGGAACCAATGGCTGTGGGTCACAAATAGGTGCCCAAAATGGAACCCTGGTAATTGAACCAAGGACTCCAGCCTGCGGTTTCTGATGGTGTATAGCTTGACCCATACCCAAATGACTTTTCTCCGACTCGGTGTGTTGTCTTAAGGCGAAATGTGTGGTTTGTTTCTTGAAATGGTGTTGGAATTTCCAACCCTGAAAGGGGCCTCTAAAATGAAAGACCAAAAGAGGGGGGTCGCAAAATGATCAAGCAAGCCCAAAAGGGTACCATCGAAAAAAGATACACCATTTTCGCAAGCTCCTTCAGAATGTGTTGTGTGTGTGTGTGTGCCGTTTTAGAGCAATCAAAAGAACATTGTGGCCGGCTTAGAGCCCCTAATTGTTTTAGGAATCCCCCGCTGTTAGACTAGATTTCTTCATGTCAGCACTGTTCAAACCCCACCGAGAGTTCTAGCAGAGCAAGCCAACTGCAAAGAGTTGATTAGCCTGTTTCCGTTCCAATCAAGATATCTTGTTCATCGACACCTGCCAACCGTTGTTGTTTAAGGACAACACTAAACCTTCACAACAGCCGCCACAACAGCAACAATGACAACGACAACGACAACGACAACGACCACGACAACAACAACAACAACAACAACAACAACAACAACAACAACAACAACAACAACAACAACAACAACAACAACAACAACAACAACAACAACAACAACAGCAACAGCAACAGCAACAGCAACAGCAACAGCAACAGCAACAGCAACAGCAACAGCACAGCATCAGCATCAGCAACAGCAACAGCAACAGCAACAGCAACAGCAACAGCAACAGCAACAGCAACAGCAACAGCAACAGCAACAGCAACAGCAACAGCAACAGCAACAAGCAACAACAACAACAACAACAACAACAACAACAACAACAACAACAACAACAACAACAACAACCACCACCACCACCACCACCACCACCACCACCACCACCAACACCACCACCGCAACAACAACAACAACAACAACAACAACAACAACAACAACAACAACAACAACAACAACAACAACAACAACAACAACAACAACAACAACAACAACAACAATCACAACAATCGCAACAATCACAACAATCACAACAATCACAACAATCACAACAAACAAACAAACAAACAAACAAGCAAGCAAGCAAACAAACAAACAAACAAACAATCAAACAAACAACAACAACGACGACGACGACGACAACAACCGACAACGACGACGACAAACCAACAACAACACACCACAAACCACAAACCACAAACCACAAACCACAAAGCACAAAGCACAAGCCACAAATCACAAACCACACACCACAAACCACAAACCACAAACCACAAACCACAAGCCACCAGCCACAAAGCACAAACCACAAACCACAAAGCACAAAGCACAAACCACAAACCACAAATCACAAACCGCAAACCACAAATCACAAACCGCAAAGCACAAACGACAAACGACAACCGACAAACTGCCAACAACAAACAACCATAGCAGCAACAGCAGCAGCCGCGGGGCGATAGCAGCATCGAAGCGCGAGCATACTGGCGTGTCAGCTCCGGCGCTACTTTTGTGACTGCGGGGCCAAGGCACTTGCAGCCAAGCTCGTTTGCCACGGCCAAAGCCTCATCACCCACCTAGCAGCGGTTTCTATGGAATCATCCAGCGTAGGCAACGAAAGAAGCCAAATGCCAACAGGTACATTACGAGGTATAAATGAGTCAGTTGGTGTTCTGGAGCAACCCTCATCCGTGTTCCGGTCTCATGGGGCCAGCAATCAGCAGTGCACGTATCATTGCAACATGCAAGCAGGTCGTTCTTCTTATACAGGAAACTCAGCACAGCACCTACAGATGCTTTCGCAAGTGCCCTTTTGATCATGGATGCAACATTATTATTTTTTAGTTGACTAGCTGCGTGGACAGCCTGCGAGTTGCCAATCCTGTGGCTCTGTTGCAAGCACCCAACGGCCAACCTAAAACTCTTGAGTCTCTCAAAAATCCCTGTGTCTTGCTTGCGCCAGTGCCGGTGTGCTTACCTCATCATGTCCAAGTGACAAGCCGACCCTTGTGAGCTTGGCTAAGGTCTGTGCAGAATCTCCGAGTGCGAAATGGGATGGATCAACTCGAGGAATCAACATCTGATTTCTGCACAGACAAACCCTCCCGCTTCCACAGACAAACCCCCGCAAGATGCAGCCACACAGGCCACACCTATTACTATATGTATTCATCTGCACGCGCACACACACACACACATACAAGCATAGTCGCACACAAGAAGCATATTCTCTTGACGCATCTGCATACGAGCACGCATGAAACATGATACTTTTCGCAAACACAAGCACCGACAAGCACAATCACTTTGCTGGGCATGTTTTGAAGAGAGGAAACAGAAATATGACATGACCTAGCCTTCCTACATAGCAATAGTACTTGTGCAACGCTCAACCTGCTTCTTTGGCCCAAGACAGTGGGGAACTACACAATTCTGAGAGATTCTCAGAATTAGGTAGATGTCGAAGCTGTTATGCCTCTCCAGGGCATGATCAAGCAAATTGTTTTGCTGAATTGGAGCAAAGCATCACGGAAGGCAGGAAGTGCAGAGGTAGAACTGGCCGAAAATCCTCTGCGCAGCCACGTACGCTCTCCCGGCCTCCTTTGCCTGCTCAATGTCCCCGAAAACGGACAAGGCATGGATGAGGTGGTGCAGCAAGTACACCGTCTCGCGGGTTGAGAGCATTCGGAGTTCGTGATTTTGATCAACATAAGTTACCTTCAGTGCAAACGCACAAAAACATGAGACTTCTGGGTATTCTGCCTGCTTGTTCTTCGAAACATTGAAGGCCAGTAACGAACCATCGAGACAGGATGCGAGAGAGACGGCATGGCAAACAAACTCTCTAAACTGCACTCTGGCCGCAAGTTGTGCAATGCTCTGATAGGCTTGACATGGATGGTGCAGCACGTTGCAACCTTTGGCGCGCAGCAAAAGGGTTTTTGGTGGCAAACCCTTGGTTTCCAGACCGCGCGGGCAAATGTTCCAATGCAAATGATCCATAGCCAGCCTCGGATGGCCTGTGGAACTCATTAAGACACCCTCAGCTGCAGGAATTTGAGAGGCCCTTCGGGACACAGGTGTGGGTGTGGTTGCGCTTTTTGGGGGTATCCCTTTGTTGTAGTTTCAAAGGGAAACCAAAAGGAACGCCAAAATCCATTTTGGGGTTCCAAATCCTCAAACAATGACACCGATATGGAAGCCTGGAGAGCGCCCTTGGTGGGATCCACAGGTGAAATTCACGAGATCCACAGTGCTTGCAGTTTCTAAGGAAACTCAAGGGAAAACAACCCATTTTGGGGGCCCCCTAAAAAGAGACACACCCATATCCCAAGTCTACTCCACAGTGAATCTTAAAAACCATAGTGCAAAGGAGACCACAGTTCTCGACCATTGGAGCTAAAGACTCCCCGCCTCTCTCTTCTGGTCAGGCCGGTGCCGAATGCGCTCGGTGGCCTCCTTGCAGACTTGCACGGCCTCGCGGCTCCGAGGCTGGATACACCTCGAAGTCTTCAAAGGCCCCTTTCTTACGGAATCGACTGGCGGAGCGCCTAAGCACAAGTGTTGTGTTGCTGTTTGATGAGCATGGCCGGCGTGCAGTTGGATTCAGCCAGCTACTTCCCACGTAGAGAGAGGAAAGCAAGGAGTCATCTTTGCATGTCAGAGCCACTCGCGTAGTCTGCAAGCTGGGCGTTGCAAGCATATATGCCTCTCAGTTTGAAAGTGGACATGGGTTCAACACATGCTTGATCTGTGACTCAAGGGAGACGGCATCACATTTACACAATATCCAACATCCCGAGCATCCCATTGATTTGTTGTGCACACCACGTGACTTGCGAAGTGAGTTGGCTGGCGAAGACCCGAGACACTGGCCGATCTGAAGTTGCTCACGTCAACTCAAGCCCCATCCATTCCAAGGCAGAATTCCCATGGAGAAAGGGCAAATCGATGGCTAGAAGCACAAATCTTGTGTGGCAAGTGAGTCATTGACACTCCAACCCCCTCCGCATTCCCCAAATTCTCTCCGCCTTGTCCGGCTGGTTGTTCAGGATGTAGGCCTCCACCAGGAAGCCCACGGCCACTCCCTGCGAGCGTCTCTACCTTCATATTTGCTGGCGGCCAAACATCCCCGTAAATGGCCAAAGGGCCAAAATCATTGAGGTTATACCCATGTGGGGGTGGCTGCTTTTTGAGGCTACCCTTTCTTGGGTGGTTTTAAAGGGAAACCAAAAGGAAAACCACGATTTTGTTTGGGGGTGTCCCCTAACAAAGACGAATCCATATTGTGACTGAACCTCAAGGATCCATGCGACTCCAGGATGGCCTAAACGGACAACATTTGCTTCCTGCCACTAGGGCAAATATAAGACCCCACCAGAAGAGTGTGTAACTTCCGAATGGTCAGTGTCAGAGACTCCCACGTGAGAGCGACCGGCCGGCTCTCAAGGGCGGCTTACAAAGATGATCGCCGCCGGCTCTCTATGCCAGCAAAACATGACCGAGTGCACCTCTGACTATCGGAATGTGAGCTTTCGCGTCTACGCAGCCGGCCCATTGTTCTTGCCACAGCTGGCCTTAGTTCGGCCACCCCTGTCTTTTGTTGGCCAAGTTTCTGTGGAGACCCGGAGATCCGGAGATCCAACCGGAACCGGTTGAAAACTGGCGCCAAAGACAGAGCGGATGGCCCAAGCCCTGCCTCCCAGGAGGCGGTATCATCCAGCTCCTGGCTGCTGAGAGGCTCATTTTGTGGGCGGGGGTGTCTCAAGAACGGCTAGGTCACATGTTTGGGGTGGGTATGTATCAAAATACGGGGACCGAACCCGACAAACACCGGCCACCGAACCTTCCATTTGCTTAAACCCCCTGCAAAAAATACCAAAAAAAAGTTCCAATAATAATAGATTCCCTGTAAAACCAACAGGAGAAAATATTTTGCAGACTCCTATAGGAGCAAATGGAAGGAACCTGCAAAATGGTCGCGAGTCGCGCTTTTTTTTTCCCGCCTGCAGAAGTGCAGAGGCCGCCTCCCCCATGGACAGCGACAGGCGGGCGTCCTCGAGGCCACCGAGCCGAGCCGAGCTGGCTGGTGATGGATCGCTCGACAGGTCCGAGGTCCGGGACCTAACTGCGTGGCTTGGAGAACCTCTCACCAAAAAAGCTCATAGAACCGTCTCCTTTACAAGTAGATTTGCGCGGAACTCAATCCGGACTTGACGAGGCTTCAAGATAGACAAGGAGTTTGGCAACTCAACGATTTAAGAACCACCAAGCTCAAAGCCAGTCAATGAGGCCTCAGGACTCAAGTTTGCTCACCTGCCAAAGCAGTCAATCAAATGGAGGTGGAACCAATCAAACAAAATGTGGGCGAGCATTGGGCACGCTTTGCCCCTCCCCATCCCCATGTTTGGCTATTGGATTTGCATTCTGTGGCGTTCTTGGCTGGCAGCGTTTCCCATCGCATTTTTGGAGCACTGCGATTGCTTCAACGGATCCTAGCAACTGCAAAGGCATCACCATTGGTCACGGTCCACAAGAGTGGATGGCCATCCCAGCAAAAAAAGCCAACGACATGCAGTAGAAACGGACCAAAAACTGGTGAAGGGAAATCCAAAGGAAGCTCACCACTGTGAGCTCCTGAACCTGTGAACCCATTCGAGGCATGGCAAGTGTAAGATGAGCTCCAGCTGTTTGGGCGGTCGACCAATCCAAGTACTGCTGCAAGTGTGCTGTTGTGACTTGAATCTCAAGTCAAAACACCCCAAGGTACTTGAGCCCAGGATGCGCCTTTGGAGAACCTACAATACCTTCGCGTGGCCGAAGGGTTGCCAATTTCGAGACGATGGCATCTCCTCCCGCATGAGGTAGAACTGCCCCAAGGCAAGCAGGCTGGCCATCTGGCGGCAAAGGGCCAGTTCACTCGGATTCACGCCCTTCGGTAGGCCAGAGGGGATGCTAAAACTTTGGCCGCCCCATTCTCTAGGATTCAACTATCTGTTGGACCACTAACAGGCCGGCAGGCATGTTAGCAGCAGCCATCCCAGGCAAAACCGCGACCAAGCCTCAAGCTGTTTGTTGGCGGAAGCATCAAACGAGGTCCTACGGAGAGCAGAAAGCATGGGCCCTGGCACAAAAACGTGATGTCCCATCCTGTGACATGCGCGCAGGGGTGTTCCGTACTAGTACGGCTTTGTAGGTAGTCCATGTGTTTTGTTGGGTCATGATGGTCATGTCAAACGTCAAGAAACTGCAACGCAAAGGGACCAGGTATTTCCAAGCAAGCCAGGGGTTGCAACACAAGCCCCCTCTAAACGCTCGCAACTTGGTACCAGTGTGATTTATCACGTTGGCCTTGGGAGGATACGTGTTGGCAGCGGCCCAGATGCACTGCTTCAGGCACCGCATCTGCCTGCTGCTTCTTGGTGCCAGCTTCCTGCAGCAGCCTGTGGCGAAACGAAAGCCCTCAGGGCGAGACCGAGCCTCTCATCTTTCGCTCCAATGCTGTCGGGGGTTGGTGTCTTCCTGTGAGTCACAGATCAAAAAACAGATTGCTTCCTGCAAAGGACATCCGAATTTTAGTGCGCTGCCCAGTTTGTGGGGAAAGTTAGCGAGTCCCTCCATGTCCCTCCAAACAGATCATAGACTGTTGGAAATTTCAACCAAACCTCATGTGCTTGTTCAAGTTCCTCCAGATTCATTCTCCGGATTTGTTGCAAGCAGAATTCTCCATCCCCTTGTGGTTGGCTTTGAGGAAAACTGAGCACGGGGTGCAGTATCTAGCACCGCGCCAAAATCCTCATCGGTTCGGTTCTGCTGGCGTGTCACTTCCGCCCAACGAACTTGTCGTAAGTCCACAGCTGCGAAAGCCCATCAGTACTTCCCCAGCCATCAAAGCTCAGCCGCTCCCAAGTCTCCCGTTGCTTTCAAGTGAGACGCACATCTCCAGATTTAACACTCGTTGGCCACATCTTCAAGTGATTCCGCACCCTGCTTTCTATGGGGCTGGCCAAGGTCAGTAGGAGCAAGCCTGTCAAATGTCCTCTGCCAAGCTGACATCGGACCCTGTTTAGTAGACAACCGTCCTTTGTGATGGCTTCAATTCCATGCCCGGTGATTTTCAGCATTATTGTTTTACTTCAGCTAGCATGCGCACCAAACCTTTCTCCAGGTTCATTCTGATTCCGTTGGTTTCAACTTTGGTTTGCTGGCCCAGTGTGAACGTACTCCTTGGCTTGCTGATCTAAGAGAAGTACTACTAGCTGATGGTCTTCTACGCAAACAACCTCGCCATATCTGTTCCGTTCACCAGCTATCTCAAGCACTTCAACCAATCGCCACCAATGGGCCGTGGCACCGCCCAGCATGAAACTAACCAATCATAGTCAAATTCAGGCTTTCTTTCACGACCCAACTTTCCCTAGCATCGGGTCTGTGGCTCCAGCAGGTTTTGAAGCTCTGATTCATATCCAGGTTGCTTTCACTTGGTCGCACTGGGCTCCCAGCTTCAAGCTCTTGCGCCCGAGACGGATGGCCATCTCTAGCACCTGAGGCCAAGAATGTGTGCAGCATGGCGTACGCAAAATATGGCGAGTGCAAAAAAGCAAAGAACCAAGCAAAGTAACAGGCAGGCAAGCAAGCACACACTGGGCAGGCAGGCAGGCAGGCAGGCAGGCAGGCAGGCAGGCAGGCAGGCAGGCAGGCAGGCGGGCAGGCAGGCAGGCAGGCAGGCAGGCAGGCAGGCAGGCAGGCAGGCAGGCAGGCAGGCATGCACAAACGCACCCACGCACGCAAGGAAGCAAACAAAGCAAACAAAACAAAACAGCCCCCCCCCAAAAAAAGAAAAGAAAAAGAAAAGCAAGTCAAACAACGGAACAGTCAAGCAAGCAAGCCAGCCAGCCAGCCAGCCAGCCAGCCAGCAAGCAAGCAAGTCAAACAACGGAACAGTCAAGCAAGCAAGCAAGCAAGCAAGCAAGCAAGCAAGCAAGCAAGCAAGCAAGCAAGCCAGCCAGCCAGCCAGCCAGCCAGCTTGCAAGCAAGCAAGCAAGCAAGCAAGCAAGCAAGCAAGCAAGCAAGCAAGCAAGCAAGCAAACATTTGTTTGGCCCGAATGATGAAACAATCGAAGAGGTGATGGTCTGCCCTTTGTTCGTCATGCAGGTGCACGCGCCGGCCCAAAAAGGGATCTATTCAATTCAAACAGCTTGGTTGTACATGTGTTGCTCCCTAATCAGTGGGTCTGTTGACACCTTCTATCCGAACACGTCTACAAAGAACCTGTACTGGTCCTATCATCGCTAGTCTGACGGCAGGCAACAACAGTGTAATGCCTACATCCGTCTTGCCCAAACATCAATAAACGAAGCACAACGAAGCAAAGAAGGACATGACTCTAGGAGTTGATTCCCCATTCTTTTCAGCCATCGTTCTTTTCAACAACCAGCAGTTTCCCCGTATTGTGGCTTTCTGAAAAAAGAAGGATCCCTGGAAAGAATGGGGAAGCTACCCCTGGAATGACATGTGTCACAAGATCATCCCCGCGATCCCTTGCCAGCCCCCCGCTTCTCGGGCCCCCAGACGCCAGCACGGGCCTCCGTCGCAGCGCCCATGTGCAGAGCCATTGCCTGCCAGGTTGGGGGGGGAGGCTTTGGTGTTTGGGCCATGGTGAGAATCACCCTTGGGGATTTTGATTTTCAGAAAAGACACATCCAAATCTGTACCAAAGATGTTGGATGACCATGACTGTAGCACTTCTGGGTTCCAATTGGTATCACAGAAAGCGGCAATGCCAAACTCCCACAAGCATAGGTGGGGCCAGAGGCTTGTAGGAACTGAAAACATGGGACCCATGGCCGAATTGTCCCTTGTTTGAACATGTCTAAACAAACGGGACCAAGAGTTGGTTGTTGCCCAACCCTGGTTGTAATGCGCATGGTTCGTATTCCCCAGACCCAGTCGCTCAACTGGCAGGACAGTTCAAAAGACATTTAATGGGCATCAAGATCGTCATGCGGGGTCCACAAACAGGTGATTGTTTGAACATCAGCTTTTACACGTTCACGTCTTCCTCCCAAGGTGCTGGAACGACGCGGCCCTCGTTTCGCCGACAGGATTCTTTTTTGCATCGGCCATCCAGCAAGATCACTTCAGCGCGGGGCCCCTGGTTGTTCATGTCTGGCTCAAACCTTGGAAACACAAATACATGGGGGTTGATCAATTGCCCTGGCCCCCAAATGACCTTTGGTAACTTCTCCTGTTGTGGTTTCCCCAATGGTCATTCCATGTAAAGGACGTCTCGATCAACACCCAATATGCTCTTGCAGGTCAGCTCATTCTCAAAACAAACCGTGCGCGTGAGCTGTGACACAAAATCTGCCTGACTCCTGACTAGTAAAGACGGCAACAACCGCCTGGCTTTCAGCTTAGCCCCGGAGCCTTCAACTCGTCGCCGGGTCTATCCAAAGACAAGCATCAAGCCGAAAAAGCCACTCCAGCCATTCGCGCCGCAAGCGCGCGTGCCATTCCCACAGGTCCCGCCTGGCACAGCTTGTCGTCCACACTCTTAAAGAGCTCGGCCGCCTGCGCTTCGCAACGCCCCGCAATTGCTGTGCCCGGATCCGAAGGATCCGAACTCTCGGATCGGCCTCCGCAGAGGCCTTCCGCGCCGCGTGGAAGTTCCTCTTCCGGAAGTAGACCTATCGAAGGGCGCTCAAGCGCCCGAAAAGTGGGCGCGTCCCAGGTCCTTGGACTAAGCCAACTGCCCGAATGGAGAAGTGGCAAGGCAGGTGCAGTGTCCAATCAAAACACTCGATGCCACTGTGCAACTGTATGAAGGCGGGCTTCTTTTTATCCTCACCCACCTGTCCACTCATATGTTTAAGGTTGACTCCGGAATATTCCAGAAGGAAATGGAATAAATACGAACCTAAATTCAGAGGAAATGATAATCATGAGAAACAGAACTTGCTTGTGAAACTACTTGTTGCTAGTTGCTGTCTTTTTTAATGCTGTCAAGGAACGATTCTAAGATGTGGACCAGATACAAGATCATATTGTCGCCTTTGATGGTTTGCAATTAACAAATGTTTAGGCAGCAACGGCTAAGACGCGTTCTACGGCCGCAATAGCAGGGTGAGCTGAACATGCAGCCCTTTGTCGTTCGATTGGCTGGTTGCAAAAGGAGTACCCACCCATCCATATCCACGCAGAATTTCACTTTCCAGGAGAAGGACCGCATCCCCAGAATCAAACCTGATCTTGTCCATTCCTCCTCTCTTCAAACGCGCAAAAAGACTCAGACCCAACGCTGAACGGCCCGTGCCTCCGCCAGAGTCAGCGTGGCTAGGCCTTCGTATTTCGCCTCTTTGGCCTGTCCGGCAAACGGGAACGGGAAGGTCCCAAAGCCGCAAAGCCTGTCCAACTCATTTTGCCGATTTCTACGGGGGACGGTTGAAAGGAGAATGCGAAAACAGCCTTGCTTCGAGCTTTCTCATGCCAGGAGAAGTGTGTTTGCGTGTCTTTCCCCACTGCCAGTCCCTTCCTGAGCAAGATACGTTCCCGCGTCAGACCAGAAAATTGGAACATGTGGATGTCTTTTTTGAGGGAACCCCCCTTTTTGGTGGGTTTTAAAGGGAAGACCGAAAGGAAAACCACCATTTTCGGGTGGGTGGCACACCCATGTAATGATCCCAACTCGCACATTCCTCGCGCCTGGCTAAAGATCTCTCTGGCCTCCTCGGAGTTTGCTAGCGCCTGACACCGCGAGGCTGCCCGGGTGTCCCTCACCACGGTCGGAAGTGAAGGACAAAGAGGGATCCGAGTTGGATTCCCTGCAACGTCAGAGTTGGATCTGAGTTGGATTCCCTACGATCCACCCCGAAAGCGTTCCGTGCCAAGCTGAATCACATATTTTCTCGGCTCCTTGTGCGTCCCGCCCAAAATCACGTCCGCGCCTCCTCGCGCTTGTTACTGCCCCGGTAGGCGCAAGTGGCCTCCGCCATGCTCAGCATCATGCAGGCCTCGCAGCATCCATCCGTCCACAAGGAAATGGATGGAGCAAGCGGACAAGGGGGAAAGGTCGTGGCTAGGTTTGCGATACGGCTTTGAGGAGCAATGCAAGCCTGTGTTTTGCCCTTGAATATTTTACATGTGATGTCCACCGTCGCTAGCTTGCCTCAAGACGCCTATAATCACTTCGTGCTTTGCTACGGGGCCTACGCAGGAAGCAACTAAGCGAGAACCGTAAATGTAGCTTATCAATGGAGCAGCAGCAGCAGCAGCACTACATCGGATATGTGGAACTTGGAAACTGTGAGATTGTCTACTTAGATGACGTAAACGAACCCAACCATCTTAATGTTGACTCGTATCGAAGAAGGGGGTGGGGGTGGCAAAGTTGGGGGCTCGCGAGGTCACGACCGCCCACACACACACACACACTCACACACACTCACACACACACACACACACACACACACACACACACACACACACACACACACACGCACACCAACGTGGACAAACCCATGAGGAGTCAGGATAAAGAATTCAGGAGCCATCATCTTCGCCCCGCTTCAAACCTGACGGCCAAACAACGAGGAGATCTAAGCAACAAAAGCGAAAGTGTACAAAAACTTCGAGCTTCTGAGGCCGAATACGTGGCCTCTGGCTCTTCAATTTGGTGGCACACGACACTTTTTTACAAATAGTGCTGCCTGTGGCCCCAACCCCGCCCCCCCCCCCTTCCAAACTGTAAAGTGTTTAAGTTAGGCACCCAGATGCACCCAGCATTTGCACCAAATTGAGCAAAACAGGCTTGAAGTTCATAGCCCCGAGCTCAACAAGTCCATTCTGCAGGCCGCGGGAAAGCCACTTAACAGCAATGGGGTGTTTGTTGGCATCTTGGCCTCAGCAGCATTGCAACAACCTTAAAATGGCAAAAAGCACAAGCAATGGACAGTGCCAATGGCACACTGCCCGGACCCTCCCGCATCATAGAAGGCGTGCTCATGACCAATCCACACTGATCTCTATTGAACATGCCATCTTGGCTGCCAAGAACAAAGCCAAGTGGCTACACCAAGCGCGTGTTTCGTAGGTAATCGAAGAAACAGCCGTTCCAATCAACTCGAGCCAAGCACAAATCCAAAACCATATGTTTATGTCGCGGCAGCGGCTGGAATCTACTAGGGGGTCGGTTGGCAGGGAGATGTTGTGGTGCAAAGCTGATCTATGTGAACATGGTTCAACTTGGTGTCAGGGGACCAACCAACCAACCAAGCAACCAAGCAACCAAGCAACCAAGCAACCAAGCAACCAAGCAACCAACCAGCCAGCCAGCCAGCCAACCAACCAACCAACCGTCTCTAATTAGAGGAGCAAAACGTGGGACTCACTCTGGAGGCGTCTCCAGTCGGCTGTCCCACACCTTGCCTGCCCAGTTTCGTCTCCCGCATCGCGGAAGTTGGCCATCTCCTGGCCGTTCTGAAGCCAAAACGGTTGTGGGCCTTCTTGGAGCGTACTTTTGCCAGGGTGGGTGTAATCTAAAGGACAAACACAAGGCAGCCGACCATTTTCCTTTTTCCTGTTTTGTCTTTCTTTCTTTTTTTTTGGGGGGGGGGTTGGGGCGAATGCCTACTTTTGACATGTACCAAACGCGCTTCCGTGCATCTGTTCGGACTTGAGCCGGATCGGCTGCACTTGAGATCCCAAATGGGCCGTCGCCTCTTCCGCCATGGCCTCGGCCTTCTCCAGCTGGTCCCGGGCCTGAGCGCGCGCTCGGTTCAAGCAAACGCGTGCAGAAGGGAGCCACACCTTGCCGTGCTGGTCTTTTTCAAGTCCTGCCCGAAACTCCAAAAAGCAGCAATTGCGGAACACGCCAGAAACGAGAACAAGCCAGAAAATGGGTAGGACAGTTCCATATCTGTGTTCCCCACCCCAGTTTGTTGAGGTGGCAAAGTAAACAAACAGATCGTGGCAGTGCTTCTTATGTACAAAGAAGCCAACACCGCAAGACCGATAGAATGGACTGGCAGGGGCCACAAGGATAATTGGAGATGCTTGTTGGGGTGGCGCGGGCCAGAAACGAGGTAGGGATATTCCGTCCTTCTTCCCTGCCCCTTCCCAACACGCAGTTGAAAAAGTGAATCGGTTCAACTTCTTCCGATCGTGCCTACATTCTGCCACCGCCACCTTCTTTGCCTTCTGTTGCTCAGACTCAGCGCGTGTATTCGTGGAGGAATAGGCATGGTGGAAACCAAGAAGTCTCATCCTTCCGTATCCGATGGGCGAACGGTGGAGCGGAAATGGTTGGCGGCGTTGAAAGGGCTCGATTGTGCAAATTTGGAAGACCGGAATGGTCATAGCTGGCCCAGAAACAGGCCTTGCCTTGGCGAAGAAAGCTCTTTCAAAAGCCAGCGGCCAGGGCCTCCTCGAGAGCCACAGTACACATCCGGGTCATCCGGGATCTTGGAAACATTTGGGCGAGTCGGAGACAGCATGCGTGTCACTGCCAACCCCACTCTCACCTCAAGATCACCTGCTTGCAGCGCGCGCCTGGGAGAGTCCTGGGAGAAACCACCAAAGAAGCTCAAGCGGAACTTGATCATTTGAGGAAACGAATATGAAACGAGCCTGACAGCTCCGCCAAGGAACCTGAAACCCAAGAGGACCTGAAGGAACCGGATGGAAACTTGCAAGGACCCTAAGTCTTGGAACGGGCTCTTCGGACAGTTTTCACGCTACATTGTCTTTCTCCCTGAAGCTGACAAACCGAAAGGGAAAAACCAGCAATCGAAAGAGGCATATCCCTTTCCATTGTTGGCGAAAGGGTAGAATCCTTCACCGAGATCTGAGATCCGATTCCCCGGCCCAAGGCGTGGCTGAAAGGCTCAAAGCTCAAGCGCAACAAGACCAGAGAGGGTGTGCCTTTTTTTCGTTTGGGCGGCGGGGCTGGCTCCCTCTTTTGGATGGCTTGACCAAGAGGAAACCAACTATTTTTAGGGCAAGATGGAACCGAATCTACCCTGGGCAGGAGGATCTAAATGCATCACGAAATCAAATGGGGTTAGTGCAATTCAAGCAAAACGACTCAATGGGAATCCTGCCAGCAGCTCACACGCGGCCGGGCCATGACAACTTGCTATTTTCCAAACTGAAATGATCGGGAAAACACCCGACTCAGGGACTGAATGCCGATACCAGAAAGAGATACCCTCCATGTGAGTGGCCGTGCCAAACTCAAAATTCGCTCAATCAGAAGAAGACTGGGCGCCGGGCGAGCGCCCGCTCGCCCTGGTTCCTGGCCTGGCAAACCCCAAAACGACCCAAATTGAGACAACAAAGTATAGTTGAAGCCCAAGAACTGTGTCCCACTTGCCTTGGAAACTTCTCGCTGGAGGGTAGGGGGCCATCGTTGGTGCCATGTGTTGTGGACAAACTGCGCAGGCTGCAAGTAAAAGCTGCGAACGCGAACGTCTGGAATGTAGCCGGTTTATTTAGGCTATACTGGAGAAGCTTCCGCACACAGGATGCTCGTGAGAATTCAGCAACGAGTGGAAGCTACATGAGATGTGTCCACGCTTCCTGAACTCAAACCCAAGCTGATCTCGAACGCACAAGCAGCCATTTTGGAAGGCAGCAGCCAGCCAGAACGTGAGGCAAGGGCTCGCAGCACCGAACAACTCACACCAGGCCTTGAGCCACGATATGCTGTCTGAAGCAAACTTGGCTGTGAAAATGACGGACAACGTGCTTGAAAATCCATCTGCTTTTTGGGGAGTGCTCCACACACGCGATGCAAGTGGATTGAAGTACTGCCTATCCTCAAACATGTCCCTAGCCCGCACGCCCCAGGCGCCTCATCCGCTTTGGCCCTCAGCACGTGGATGACCAGCCGAAGGGCGTCCCGCGTGCCTGCGCTGCATGCGTCAAGACCGGTCAGAATCCCAAACTACTGGTCACCGCAGATTGCAGTACCCCTCCAAATACACAAAAGCTTGTTCCAGCGACATTTGTCTTGCTCGATGAAGGGGACGCTGCTGATCAGTTCATGCGGAGCAGTTCAAGATTTTTATTGGTTCAAAGATAGGCTGCTTGCAGGTATTTGTTCTTTGCCCTTCGCTCTGAAGTACGGCTATGCTTCCAGCCTGGGAAGCGGGCACAAAACCCGCCAAGAAAATTGGAGGACTATGGAAACAAGACGGGTGACCGTGGTCTCCTTGTAATCTACCGCAACCCGACCCAAATCATAACCCCCTCCAGTCCCCAGGAGTAAGAGCCCGATCAAGATGGTGAACAGAACCTCTCTCTCTCTCTTCTCAAGATTGTGCTTCCAAACATGCATTTCTTCTTGTACCCATTTGGAGATTCCCGACCATTTACCACATACCCAGACTCTTGCCTCAAACAGCCACCCAAAGAGAAAGGGCGGAAACTTTCTGCCCGTCTCGCGCCTCGCTGATCACCCTCTTCTCTGAACAGCTCCAAGCAGCCTGCAGAGACTCGCACTGGCCAGCACCGAAGCATTGGAATCAGGCAAGAGAAAGGCTCCATAGAAACGGTCCTGCTTGCATGTTTGAGTGGCTCTGGACCCTGCTCACATGGATTGCCGCATTGGAACCTGCCCCAGGAAGGTAGGCTTCCTCCTCCCACATTCTCCGCCGGACTCTCTCTCCCCCTCTCTCTGTCACTCTCTTGGCCGGTCTCAAAAGGCTTCGGAGCGGATCCGTTTGCAACCCGTTTTTGCCGGGCAATGCAAACCGCCTTTGGAGACCCAGCAAGCGGGACGGTTGCTCCGGGAACTTCCGTGTTTGGGGCAAACCACATGCAAAACCTGCCATCCGGGCGGTCCGTCCCAATTTGAGACATACCCGTGCTGGCTATTTTCGGAGCGTGCGTTTATCTTGCCGATTCAAACATGGCCTGCAGCTTCAACAGCTTGACGTGCGGAACTTGTGTCGTTTTACATCCAATGCCAGCCCAAATGCTGCTCCAGTTTGCTTCAACATATCCAGCCGTGCAAAGCTGGAGCCCTCTTGGCTTTCCCTTCCCACCATCCCAGAAGGGTTCCTGGGTGTGAAGATCATGGATCCCTTTTTGGTTGCTTTGAAAGGAAACCAAAGGAAACCAAAGGAAAGCAAAGGAGACCCAAGGGACCGAAAAACCGCCCGTTTTCACGGGTCCTCCCGTTTCAGGAAACCCCACACCTTCCGCAGACGGCCCTCGGCCCGGAGCCCGCCTTCCGCAGCCACGGTGGCCTCCTCTAAGTCTCCATCCTCAGTCGACCCGGAAGGTGAGACGGACGTTTCCCCAAAATACGAAACGGCGCGGGGGGGTTCTCCACTCTTCCCCCTGAACCGCGGCGGTTTCCCAAAATGGGGGGGGTGTTCACCCTAAACCAAAAAAGGTCTTTCTTGGTTGCTTCTCATCGAGGTGCTTCAGCACTTTGCAAGACTGAGCCTGTCTTGTTGACAAGGACTTGTGTGTGCAGTTGCAATGTGATTGCCTTGCCTGTGACCTAATACCATGTATATGTTTGGCTGCGGCAGCAAGCTACCTGCCGGCCTCCAACCAAAGCAAGCAAACAAAAATTGCATTGTTTGTTAAGGTATCACGCGGTGCTCGATATACAAATATGTTTGTTTGTATATATTATTATATATTATATTATATATACATATTATCTCGTCCGGGTGAGCTGCAATGATCTGATGACCCGCAGTAGTTAGCATCCCTTTGAGCGTCTTTGAACAGTACCTATCCTCGCATAATATGCGCGAGCATGGGAGCCCATGCTTGATCTTCCCGAGTTTCAGGATCCTTCGCTTTGGGCACGTCCAGTCATGCAGTGGGCTCACATGCAATCATCCCCTGAACCGTTGCAAAGAGTGTGATGCTTGCAGGCGATGATGTTTGCAGCAGCGCCAACTAGACTCGACTGCAGGCTTAACTCACAAGGCACCTGGACATAGAAGGTGAACCTTTTGGGGTCATGACTAAATATGGACCAAAGGCAGACAAAAAAGATAGATTCGTCTTGGACAACTGAAATCAATGCCATTGCCCCCCAGGCCTCGATATGGTTCTCTGCCACGCAGAAATAAATCGCTGCCTCGAAAGCGCGGAATCGCATCATTTCGAACAAGTGGCGGCCAGCCAACCAACCAACCAACCAGCCAGCCAGCCAGCCAGCCAGCCAGCCAGCCGGCCAACCAACCAACCAACCAACCAACCAACCAACCAACCAACCAACCAACCAACCAACCAACCAACCAACCAACCAACCAACCAACCAACCAACAACAAACAAGCAAGCAAGCAAGCAAGCAAGCAAGCAAACAAACAAACAAACAAACAAACAAACAATCAAACCACCGACCAACCACCCAACAACAAACAAACACACCAAGCAAATTCAAACAAAGCAAAAATACAGCGACCGGCCGACAATCCATCCAACAAACCAATAAACAAACAACAAAAACGCTGACAGACTGACCGACCAACCAACCAAAAAACAAACAAGCAACCGACCGACCCGCCAACCAACCAACCAACCAACCAACCAACCTACCAGCAAGCAAGCAAGCAAGCAAACAAGCAAACAAGCAAACAAGCAAACAAACAAGCAAACAAGCAAACAAGCAAACAAAGCAAACAAGCAAACAAGCAAACAAGCAAACACACAACCGATCAAGCGAACAACGAAGCAACCAACAAACACACGATAAAAAATCGAGCAACCAATCAGCCAACCAACCAAACAAACCCGCCAGCCAGCCAACCCAGCCAACCAATCAAACCAGCCAACTAATCAAATCAATCAAACCAAGCAAACCGAACCAAAGCAAAGCAAACCACCCCACAATCGACCTTCGGTCCCAAGCTCTTGCAATCTGCTGCCAACTCTTGAAACATGCGACGATTTTGTTGGTTCCGAAGTCGGCAATGAACCTCGAGGCCTGAGCCAGACTTCCAGGTTGGCTCCCGCTTTGCTTAGAATGCGATGCTCTCCCCAGCTTCCACCCATACACATTCTGTCGCACGGCTGCCTCTCCAATTCAACCCGGTTGTGGCTTCATCCAAGCATTGCAATAGATCGCCCTGCCATTTTGACGGATGGCTGTGTGTGTGTGTGTGCCTCAAAAGACCCCTGAGTGCAAAGGGCTCTTTGTTTGCCTCATAGCTCTTTTGGGATCTCAACACTCCACGGAACATCGAAGGTGCCCTTCTTGGCTTCCCCTTCTTGGCTTCCCCAGCCTGCTTGATCTTCTCATTGGCAGGGCTCGAGTCGGCATACTTGCCTTGGCCCATGGAACAGAATGGCCCGCCCTCCCCGCAACCACTTCCTGGTCGGTTGCCATGTGGACACATTCAGAACTCCGAAGGGCAAAGACCAGCTGTGTCAAGAGCCTACAAACATATCAATATATTGTGTAGGTATACTAATACATGCATCTATATATGTATACATATATATATATATATATATGTGCACATACATATGGTACCAGGAAGCTAGCCCTGCCATCATACAAGCAACACCTGTTGCCTTGGACGTCCAAATCTCTGCAGGCAAGCACGCCTCTGGTATCAGCTTCCATGATGATGAGAAGAGTCCGTTTCATGGCATTTGATCTTCACAAGGGCCCGCAGCTAGGGAGTGTTCACACAAAAACGGTCCTGTGGCCAGATTTTGGGGCAGATGAAAAGTAAATTGCCTTTCAACAACTCAATCCTACCTGGCTGACTGCTGATATTTGATCTTGCTGCACCCCAACGCCCATTTGCCATGGTGCCCTGTTCTTCTCTCAAAAACTAAACCTTGTACCAAGGAATGGTCGACAAGATGTGCGCTCCCATGGCGTGAGACAAAATTAGTTGGACCCCTCCGAACGGAAGAGGCACCAGAAAAAGAACCAGGCGGGGGGTTCCTCTTCTTAAGACATGCCGATATCAAGGATCCCTCCTCCCTTCTTGTTAGATGACTTTCTTTGGGAGCATCAACATAAACTCACCGCATTTCTTTGGGGGCATCAACATGCATCATTGACATCATTGCCCCTTCTCCTGTTGCAACCTTCCTTCCTGAACTTCATCCCCAGAACCACCCTCATCCTAGAGTGGCTCAAACAAAGGACTGGGCCTCACTGTAACAAACATCCACTGGTGGCAAGCCATCTACGATGGAATCACGCTAACCATCGCTGGCTCTTTTCACACGCATCTTGCAAGCACTGCCACCCTTCCCACACGTACCCGTACTCAGAGAGAGCATGGCCCCCCATGAGACTCCTCTTTTACGTCCAGGCGTGAGATTACAGCCCCCTCCAGGCTGAGGGCGCGGCTGTAGAAAGAACTCAAGTGGTCGATAACAGTGTGCCCGCCCTGGCAATAGAAAGACGAAGGCTTCCAGAAATGTTTGTGGAGTCTGAAAGACCGAGTGGGTCAAAATTATGCGGTCTGCATCAATAGTCTCGTCAAAACACCCAAACCGCTTGCTTGGCCTAAAATTGGAAGGCTGACAGGTACCGTGTGGGAGAAAAAACATTTTAGAAAGGAGTTTCCGGAACCTTTCATGGTGGCTTGTGGGAAATCCCTTGGCCGCTGCATGCCGCGGCAGGTAAACCATGCTGCCTGCGCCGTGAAGATTCACAATTGTAACCCGCCCGGCAGTCCTCAAACACTAGGCTGTTAGGCAGTAGAGCTAACGTTTTCAAACAAATGTGGGTGAGTCTGTTTTACAACTTTCTTTCAAAACCAACAACCATGAAATACCCACAAAAACGACACACCCACATGCTGAAACATCCTCTGGTTGGTTTCCCCTTGAGTTGTGGTCCATGATCTTGCAGCCGTTGTGCCAAAGGCAGTCAATCAAAATATGTAGGCCATCCAAAGCCGGATTGGATACCTCACATGCGGACAACACAAAAACAAGCATCATCCAAAGCAACCAGGGCAAGTCCTTGCGTGTGTATATTAAATTAGCATCGCGAGCCCGCATCTGCTCAGGTCATAGAAACAAGCTACGTCACAACTCACGAAGCAGGAACAATGTGCAAAGGGCCTGTCCGCATGACGTCTTTGCATTGAGAGATCTGAAATTGCTCTGAATCCAGAGCTTATCTGACGTGCATGAATGAAAGGATCATACACGGATCGAAGCCCTTAGGAGGATACTGCGTTCACTACACAGTCAGGTTCGCAGAGTTCATTCATTCACCCAGATTCAGTAGTGGATGTCGCAAGACCACGACGCTGCTCATGGAATAAAACACAGCTTGCGTGAGCTTGATAGACTTGCAATGTTCAGCTAAACAAACAAATAGGTTTCCCCTAAGTCAAGCAATCCGAGTTGACGTCCAAACATCAGGACCTCCGTTTCGTCTGATTTCTCCTTTTCCGAGCAAGACAACCAATGGCGTCAAGATGCAGGACGCGCCTCCCAAACGCGATCTCTGCCACCCTTCTTGACGTCCATCCCTCTGCCACCGGCGGACCTGCAGGGTCCGGGAAGGGAGCAGCTTGAGATCCGAGCCAAGCCTCTGACTTGTTGCCTGGAAGCTTCTTTTCTGGGAGTCGGGAACATGGCTCAGGGTAGCCCCATCCAAACACTATGCTGACTCACTATATTTCGGACATGCATCGGGGCACGTGGATAACGTCGAGTGCACGTGGACTTTGTTTGGAAAGCAGTACTCTGCACAAATGTATTTTCAACGCCAACTTGTTCTGAACCCATATCAACATCACGAAAACACCCCATGTACGACAGGTGTATGGGTGAGTTTGTATCTGTGTGCTTGTGTCCTGTGTGTGTGCTACGACAACCTGCTAGGCCTGAAACAAGGGTCACCCAAGAAAGGAACCGTTGGGCGAGGTCGCAAGCGCGCAAACTCCTTCTGTTCAGCCGCTTGTTTGGGGAGTAAAGTCTCGCAGGGCTGCAAGCAAACTGCCCCGGTCAAGTAGGCCCATCTTTTAACGGGCATGCCTGTGGATTTCAAGGTATTTAGAACAAGGACATTTCCACTGGAGGGTTAGTTTCATGGAGTCTGCCAAGCCAGCTACTTCTGCATAGCACATACACGAGATTGCAAGTAGCCAACTCAGACGGAAGCGAATGCATGGCCAGCACATCGCCACACAACATGCGGTAGCAAACCGTGCAAGCACAGATTCACTATGTCACCTGTTCAACGACTCTTCCCACGACATGCTCCAACCACCCCCCCCTCCCCGGCCCGGCTGCGCGATGGAGGACAAGGTGGCTGAGCCAGAACAGCGGCGCGGATCTGTATTGGTCGCCAAGCTCTCAGCAGGTGTGCGTGTGTGTGTTTGTGTGCGTCGACAAACGGGGAACCCCAAACGGGTGGGTTCCCTTTGGCTCCCTTTGAAGCAACCCCCAAAAAAGAGCACCCTGAACACGCACGCGCACACACACACACACACATTCACACACGCGCGCACACCCACCCACACACGCACGCATGCACATGTGGAAGTAAGCATCTGGTGGCTCTCCTCGATAGTGACACGGCTTCATGTTAGCTTCCTTCTACCTTAGATCGACATGAGTTGTACTGCCAGTTGAGCTCTTGTGTGCAAGCCATGTGCTGGCTTACTTGTGACTTCACACAACATGATGATTCTACAGCGTATCAAATGCCGTTTTGGCAGTTTACATGCCCCTGTTTGACAGGCAAGCAAACAAGTGGTCCTGCATGAAAACACTTGCGGTTCCGCTTCCGGAGGCAAACTCAAGCTGCGTCGAATGAACATATGGCCGAATCACCTGCCTACTGGACATCCAAAAAGAGTCAATAGGGCATTCCTAGATCCAGCGTGCGCTGCACAGAGGGTCGTGTCCTTCTCTGCCTTCTCTGACAGGCGCATTCAAAGCTGCACAACTCCTCCAGGCGGAAACTGTGCCAGTTTGACCAACCCAGGTCGCGATCTGTTGCTTCATCTCTGGCGATAGCTCGATTCCGAATGCTCAAATGCCTCCACAAAGCTCCGTCCGGCACCCAAAGCCCTCCGCAAACAGCCGTGTGCGGAATCATCTTGGTCTTGCCTGCTTTCCACGGTGTTCCCCATACTTCCCTTTGAAACCTCACCCCAACCGAAGGAAACTCCCTTTTGAATTCACCCAAGATGTGATGCGTGAGCGAAGCAATAGCGGAACTAGAGGGAGCCCTGCTGGACGAACGGCCTATCAAACAAGCGCAGGCACCTCCACAAACTCGCTGGCAGAGGCGCTGAGGAAGTGGCAGTTCGCCTGCGATATGGGAAAGTTCTCTGGTCACAAAGAGTCCAACGGAAACCAACCATTTCAGTGGAAGGATCCAACACTTTGAAGACATGGCCTTCTGCTCATTTTGTGGGTCTTTGTTTCCTGGACCCTGAAGCAAACATATTACAACTAGCAGGCCAAGTAAGCAGCTTTGGGTCTGGGGAAGGAACATCCCCTTCAAACGTTGCAAGTGAACAACATGAAATTGCATTCTGTTATAGTTCCTGTTCATCCCGTCTGAACGATGTGTGTGTGTGTGTGTGTGTATGGAACGCAGCAGCCCATGTCCGTGCCCTTGGTTTACTTATACCCATATTGCAGTCAACCAGGTGTGAGCCAACGCACACCGAAGGCAACCAGCACTGCGTTGCTTCAACCCACGTTCTCTTCAGCCCGACGACTGCGAAGAAGGGGCCCCTTGCACTCCCCCGGCCTCAGTCCCTGGGAAGCCACAATGTAAACTGTAGAGACATATGATCACATGCACGTGTATTTGCATATGTATAAATAAATAAATCAATAAATATATATATGTATATATGTATGTATGTATATATATATATATATGTATATATATATATGTATACTACACATACACGTATAGATACCACATGATAACGGAACATGTTTGCAATGTTGACAATTTGCGCCCACTGTGGTGGTTCACCTCAAGGGCAAACTCCAGTGCAAGGCCCGACGAGCCCCCTTCAACCACCAAGTCAGCTTCACAAGTCTGAGGCTGAGAACACGAGCTTTTCATGACACAGCGTCGGGCTTCCTTCGTCGAAACAAAGCCTTCTGACCGACCTCTGTTCCTTCCAGGAAGCCACCACTTTTTCATATGTCCCCCATTCCCATCTGGCCTCCCCTGCTACAGCCCGTGCCAAGAGCGTCTTGCCCGTGCCGCTGGGGCCTCATCATGATCAGCATGCCCCGAGGTTCCCGCAGGTTTCAGTGCGAAACCCAAACTCTTGGCAGAGCCGACTGCACTGGGATGGCCCAAAAACTTGGCCATTTGATGTCGAGCTTGATTTTGCGCAACCCACTAGACCAAGCCAAAGGTCTCCTGATGGGGGCCTGAATCGATTTTGACCAAACTTTGGCGAAACCGAAGAACTGGGGCATGAAGCTGCTTTCTGGGCGCTCTTAAGAGGCCAGAAGAATGGATAGGAAGGGTGTGTGTGTGTGTGATATGCGATGCTGGGATGCAGTAACTTGTGGTTCAAGGCAAGGACACTTGTATGCCTTGTATGCCTTGTGAACTAGGCCGGCACTTGCCCTGAGCTTGCCTGCGTGCCTGCCTGCCTGCTGGTTGATGGCCAGGCTGGGGGGAAGCCCAGGACCATTTAAATCGACATATTAGGGTCAGTGGTTCACGGTAGATAGTTGATTTTAAAGGGAACCCCCTCCAGAAACGAGGGAAAATGGGCACCACTTCGACCCCACCTCAAGACCCCAAGACCGAACACCCAAGAGCTGGGCCCACCAGGAGCGCACCTCTGGGCAGGCGGGCGCCCGCCTGCGCTGAGGGGGAGGGTGTCAAAGGAAGCATAGCTTTGATGCGTGCGCGTGTTCGCAGCAACCTTTAGGTCAATAGGAGTTGGGGCTTAAACAGTAGGGCTGGCGCTGAGGCCAAATGCGGAGTAGAATTTGCAGAGCTGATGCCGAGCTGATGCCGGGGATGCCGGAGATGCTTTTGGGATGCTGGAGATGCGGTTTGGGCATGCTGAAAATGCTGGTGGGCATGCGGGACATGCTTGGACATGAAGATGTTGGTTCCTTGTGTTGACAGGTTAGATGCACATGTCTATGTACATCCATATGCCTGTAGAGAGGCAACATCTACCCGTCACAGGAATCTTTGGTCACACTCAGCGTGTCGCAGCACTGCACAAGAAATCAACATTGGGCATGAGAAGCCCGGGGCAATTTCAAATTCAAGTCCGGCAGGTAGCTGGCCCCGTTGAACGCCACCCTCACAAAAATCTGAAAGGAAGCGCCCAGAAAGAAACACGTGTCATGACAGCGATTTTACTACAGTTGGTGTGGAGGAGATGAGGGCTGATGACACATGCCTGTCTGCGCAAAGGTATTTCATCTGCTTCACGAAGAACTTCGCATCAAGGTGTTGGTGATTGGGGAAACCAAGACAAGGAAACCGGAGAGCATAAGAAGGTCTACTTCAGAATATAGCCCCAACAACCTAAACAAACCCAAACCAAAACATAAATCAAAAAACTAATCAACAAGGTAAGCATGAACACTTTTGAATAAAAATGTCCCAATACCTCCACCACATAAGACAACAAAGGTAGGGATCAACAACATAAAAACCATAACAACCAACAGTGAATGGTGGGATGCGCCAGTTTCCCCCTTTTACCATTTTTTCCTCTTAGGCTCTTGTGGTTGCCATTGCTCACCCATGAACATCTCACCGTCACGCAAGGGGTCGATCCTTGAACGGTTGCATGTCATGACACCCTTGGATGCTGCAGGAAGCCTGAAGTTCATGGAAATCCCAAATATTGCACAAGGCAATGGGTTTTAGTGGAATAATCTAAAAACTGGCCTAAAATATGTCCAACCCAACATATACAGATGTTCAACCCAACATACACATATGCCCAACCCAACATTTGCATATGTTCAACCCAATGTCCAACCCATCATATACATATGTCAAACCCAACATATCCATATGGCTTTTGGTGGCTCTCTCTTTGCACCACCGGTGATGAATGCATGTTGGTGGATGTCGCGATGACTCCCTAATTCAAACTCAACAAAGCTTCAAACAGTAAACCACTAGGTATCTTATATAGGTCTTCCTGAAAATAGTTCTAATAAAGCTCAAAGTATTAGAATTACCCAGATATGAATTACTCTAATAATACATATACTGCATCATCATTTTGCTAATGTTTGTTGCTTTGGTTGTTTGATTCTTCCTGTATTCAACATAACACAGTATTGATTTTGCTTTGTAGGGTAGTCGCCAGATGGTCTTCCGATGGATGTTGTTTGAAAAGTCTTATGATTTTACCTTCTCCTCGTTGCCTTGTTGTTCGCATTCAACTGGTTTAAGTGTTTCACCAATAGCTTCAATCATACCATTTAAGGTGCTAATGTTTTTACCAATTAGTGTTGTCTTCGTCGTTACATGTCGTTACATCATTAATACTATAATCCTCATCTTCAGACATCACTATATATTAAGTTACGTATTTCTAAAGATCACTTATGTTAAAACTATCAAATGTTCATTAGTTTCAATATCCATATCACCACCAGGTGTTTGTTCAATATCCGCCGACATTGCTCGGCGTGTCGGATACTTACTAGAGGATAGAGGATAACCCCCCCCCCTAACCCCCCCCCCGCCCGACGTCTATTACGTAGGTTTTTGGGGGAGCCGGTGTCGCAAAACAGGGGTCCCAGGCTCGATTCCCCCTGCCGGCTTTGTTGCTGGCTTGGGCTTCCTGCAACGAAAATCTGGAAAAACTCAATGTTTTTGGACGTCCTCTTTGCGAAAACGCTGGAAAACCGTGTTTTTTTTGCGGGAAATGCATACATACATACATACATACATGCATGCATGCATGCATGCATACATACATACATACATTTCATACATACATTACATACAAACATACATACATACATACATGCATGCATACATACATACATACATGCATTACATACATACCTACATACCTACATACCTACATACCTACATACCTACATACCCACATACATACATACATACATACATACATACATACGTACATACATACATACATACATACATACATACATTACATTACATTACATTACATTCATACATTACATTACATGCCATTACATTACATTACATTACATTACATTACATTACATTACATTACATTACATTACATTACATTACATACATACATACATACATACATACATACACATACATACATACATACATACATACATACATA